AAATGTAGCCTATGTTACTCGCTTATAACGCAGCTTTTTAATGGTGAAAGAATTTTTGAGATCGCTCTAGTAGTTTTTTAGTTATTTCTAAATGTACAAAACTACAAAATTTCCTCTTTATAATATTATGATTATTCTCTTTTTATGATTTCTAATAAACGGCAATCTCATAAAACTAATTTCTGTTTCAGGGCACACCCCGTAGCCGAAGATTGAGTAATTTCTTCAGGAAAAAATAGTCATGATTCATCATTCCCACCGCCTTGTCTCTAATGTTATTGGTTAATTTAATTTTACCTATTTATTTAATAAATTTCAGATGGATTTAGTTTTGTTTTATTTTTTAGCCCTTAATGCGATAGTGTCGTGTAACGACCAACTAATTTAAAAAAAAATCCTGAACTAGTTTAAAAAAAATACGTGAGATTTTGATTTTAGTGTGTTGGTAACATTTAATTTTATTTACTGCAAAAAAACTGGCGAATTAAGGGAGATTAAAGGAAGGGTAAATAATACAATCACATTGAATCTCATTTTTATTTGATAATGTATTACACCACAAAATCACTTTAGCACCAAACATTACTTACAAAATGTACAAAATTGTGCTTTTCGCCGTTCACACCAACCTCGACAGAAACATAAACATCTATCCAATAAGACAAACTTAAAACAGTAAATGAGTAAATATGCATTTTTACATTAAACTGAAGTTTTAACAAATTGTCTTTTATTCACTGAGAATAAAATTATGATAATTTTAATTAATAATACAATAGTGTGAGCCCACGGTTAATGCATTTCGGTCATTGTAAAAACCAATAATGTCAAACAAAACCTACAAGATTCTCTCAGTATGCAATTAGATGCTTGTAAATGAATTAAATTTTGGAGCCCACTGTATTACATGCTCTTGGCAAATAATCATAAAATTGCAGTAAAATTCTCTTATAAACAAGCTTTTTTTATAGGAAACTTAAAAATTGGACAGTTGCTGAAAGTAATAACATCATGTCACTTGAAGGCCTATCACGAATATTTGCGTCACAGTCCTTTGTTTTATAAAATCTGTACTTTTAACATTTAGGTTTTCCTACTAACAAAGCATAAATATATTCTAAGATAAGTTGTAATTTACATTTTTATATTGGTTTAACAAACACTTTAATATTGCCATTTGGTTGTAAATTTCCAGCACTAGTTTCTGTTCACACAACACAAGGCGAAAAACTCATACAAAAGCAACATTTGTCAGCTGTACTTTATAAAAAAACCACTAATAAACCATCTAAGACACAAACTCTGTACAAAGTGAATTTGCTAGATACAGATAATGTAATATATAATGTAATATATAATTTAACAATACAATAACTATATTTACAAAATAAAAATAAACATACATTAACTCGATTAACGTTCATATAAATAAGGCAAACCTCATAAAATGTTAAATTGTAGTCAAGAAAATATGCACAATTTTGTATTTAAATTACAACTAATTATCATATCATCATCATGAATTACATATACGATTAAAAATTTCATAGTGAGTTCTAACAAAGTGCGTGAAATTTAATGCTAAATGAATGATTCTACATAACTGCTTTTACCATCGTTATGTAGTAATTTACATGAATAAATGTGATTTAAATACAAATAAAAAGTAATACATTTAATTTAGGGCCTCTCCCACAAATGGCTGATAGAGGCTCAGATAGCTTAAACACGTCAACTGTCAGATAAGGTAACACAATCCGATATTTCCATCACATATTTTACACGTTGTATTGTTATCAGACAATTTACAATATGGTGGGACAGGCACTCAACATTTTCAAATATGATTCGTCGCTTTTAAGATAAGCGGAAAGAATATTCCCTATTAATAAAAAAGACTATATTTATTGACAATTTTAAAGCAATTAGTTGATAAAATAATAAAAATTCTTTCAAAATCATCATCAACTTGCCCTTATCCCTTATGGAGGGTCGGCACAGTATGTGCTGCTCTACCATACATCTCTATCAGCCGTCATATCTGAATTCTTTCAAAATAAATAAAGTAAAATAAGAAAATAACGATATACACAAATTACTTCCTATCTTAATATCTAAATCAAATCCTTTTGTGATGTAAATCTAATAATTGCATTGGATTTGTAGCAATTATGAACTATATGTCTTTAAATGACATATGAAAAAAAATTGCGTGATATTCCTATTATAAATAAGTCTTATTTATTCTGGTTTATATCAATATATTGTACGCTTATACCTATTTAATTACACGACAAACATACATGTTTAAATATCGGCTATCAGCATATATGTACATGTTGAGTATATCGCATTTTAGACTCTAACACACAAGACATAAAGTTTAATGTCCCTATAAATTAAAAATTAATGTGCTTTTGTGATGTTTGTGATTTCTAAAAGTATAAGGACTAGTTTCGATTGTCAAAATTTCTATATGAATTTGGAATTTTTTACATACGACTTGATACAAAACGAACAATTTATTGCCATAAAAATATAATAAATTTATAGAAAAGTGAGTGATAGTGTCATTTTAAAAGCTCAATTAAAAAAACCCGGTCGCTAAATAAAAAAAATCACAGTAAAAGTAACTTAACCCCAAAACTTCTCAATAGTTGTAAATAAAAAAAAATTGAATATATAATAAATGCATATCTATTCGCGACTTTTTAATTACGGTGTAACCGTATTTTGGATGACGAAGATAATTATCGTTGTCTATTGAACGTAAAAAAAACTGAAGCCTGCGAAAGCTTTAAGACAATAAATATAAACGTAAAATAAATGAGTATACATCACTATTACATTACAATTGTAGTATACAATGTTTAAAATGTATTTAACAAGGAGATTCTCTGGCAAGTACTAAGTAACAATTCTCGCTAAGTAGGAAACGAACGTCGTAAGTCGTCTTCATCAAGTAGTAAATAATCATATAATCCGTCACTTAATATTCACTTTAACCTTAGTCTTATGTGACATGATTTAAATATTTTAACTCAATTTCATCTAATTCCATAGTGTTCCTAGTGAAACCTCGTCACAATGAATCACACGTTTTTAAGTTTGAAGTCTTCTAATAGTTCTAGTTGACAGATAGTATGTCAACATCCGGTTTAGTGCAGTTATGTATCGTGGTTTATTTTAACTAAAAATAACGATTTGTCATAAAGATTGTTGTTGCATCCTCTAAATTAAATCCATACTTCATAAGTATAATTAAGAAAAAATAACTAGGTCATTTGGGCAATGACATAGTCAAGTTTGTGTAGTGTGGGGGCTGCTGCTGAGTAGGGGGGTCGTTAGAGGCAGGCGT